AACTGTGCGCGATTAGCTTCAAGCCCTGAAGGGTAGAATTTTCGACCTACGTGATCTCCTTGCTTTCCTTCGGCATCAAGTCATCAACCGCACGAGAGAAAAGATCGATATAATGGTAGGTGTTCTTCTGCACGGATTCAACAAGCCGCAGGTCCACGTCATCCGAAAGGCCTTTCTCATACTGTAGCAGGTCAGTCTTGGTCGGGAGATCAGCCGCAATAAGGAAGCACTCACAGTAGCGAGATCGTCCAGCTCAATCAGAATGTTTGTGCGCTCCCGGTCAGCGACCTCCTGCAATACCTGCATGTATTTGAGCTTGGGCTCCCGACGTCTGCGACCAGCGCGCTGTGCGCTGCCCTCCTGGGCGACATCATCCATAAAGTCGTATTCATCGCTGGTGCCATCCTCGTCAATGCGAAGGTCTTCAATGGCTTCTGTCGCAGCCGATTCCGAAGCAGACTCAAAACTTTTGAAGTGCTTCAGAAAATCCTTGAAGGCATCGAGCTGCGCTTCGTAGTTGACGTTAAGGGTGTAAGCGTTCAAAGCCATGATGCTGTAGGGCAACAAGCCAGTTCAATTGACCAACAGCTGGCGATGAAGCGGGTTTGTGATGGTGCTAAAACTGCCTGGGGCCGAGAAGGTAAAAGAAAGGCGGCGGTTCGGCCAAAGCGTCCCTTGGCGGAGTTTCTTCCCAGTTGGCGGATTGCCTTTTTCGGCTGCCGCAGCAACACGTCGCGAAACGCGTCGATTTCGCGTCTTTCATGCCATGTCTACTTTATTGCCAGTTCGGGTCTAGCGTATATTGGTCAGTATAGCACGTGCTCTCGGAGAGGAACAACTCTCGGCCCGAACATCGGCGGCGGGCCACCTCGGCCAACGGCATCTGGTTGGTTTGCGGAGTCAATGCGAGTCTAATGAGTCCGGGGAGATGCTGAGGTCTGGTCTTCTCTCATTCTCCCCAAGATCTCCCGATCCCCGACTCCAATTCTTTTGCTGTGTTCGCTGACCGCACGAGCTTGCGATCCTGCGCCTGAGAATGGCGCCCCGAAAGCCCTCCACCACCGCGGAAGTTTCCCTGGTACCTTTGAAGAACTGTCTTGTAAACCTGCCACCGTCGCTGGTCGCACTGCTGGTCAATGCCAATACTGTAAGCTAGTCATCCCACCTGGACAGAGCACGGTGATATTCCAGCCCAGCTTACTTTAGAAATAGGCCGCACAAAATGTAATTGTCGAACTACAATATCGCCAAACTACAGGAAAGGTCAATGGCAACCCCGCGCAGCGGTCATGCTATCTGGGGTGGACTGGAATGCCGAGTAAGCGAAAGCTGGCTCCCGTCGTGGGAAGAGACGGTATTAGCAGTGCTTCTGCCGCCAGGGAGCAGGACATCTCTACAGTAGAGCTGGATACAACATTTGGGCGACTCTTGGGTCTTGCTGATGGCCAAAGGGTAAGTGTGCCGGTCGCGACGGGGACCCTCAGATGCTAATGCGCCTAGGTCGGGATATACATCCATCTTGATCCACCCGTTGCGCATACCATTAATATTGAACCCCTGACTCCGGAAGATTGGGAGAGTATGTTTTGGGTCCCCTTCTATGATTTACCGACTCGTCTAATCACCTGCAGTTATTGAGCTTCACGCGACCTTCCTCGAGCTTAACCTTCTGTCGCAGATTCGAGCTCTCCCCAACCCCACATACACGACACCTCAACCTGATCACATGCACCCTCTTGCATTGCATTTATCTCCAACATCCACGGCCAACATTGTCATCACATCTTTGACTCCTGCTCCCCCAAATACCTCGCCCTTCGCGAAGATAGCGCCAGATGCGGAAGTCATTGTTGCTCCGAAGACTCGTCCGAAGGCCAACAGAGGCGCCCGGGGAGATAGCCGGAGTGTCACTGGAAGCAGCAGAAGAAGTGTTGGGGGACGGAGTAGTGGAAGCACCGCCCGGGCAAAGGGCAGTCGATCTGACTCGACGAGCAGGGGCTCCCTCTTCTTCCGGGGAATCGACCGCCAACTGTCGGAGCAGTACTTTGATGAAGAGGCAGAGGAAGACAACAATGATGGGTTCCGTGTTTGGCTTGATCCGGACATGCTTGCCACCAACGAGCTTCGGGGTGCAGGATGGGCTTGCATTTCGGTTGTCCAGCCTGCTGGCCTGAAGGCGCCACCCGACCCGCAGCAACAGGTAGAACAAACGGAACAAAAAGGTAGCGATGCCGGAACACCGGCGGCCAAGCTGGTTGCAAGGTTGATCCCGTGGACTGATGCTCCGGACACCCAGCATATTGCAGTATCCACTCTGTTGTCTGCTGCTCTCGGTGCTGAGGGTATGGTGGGTGGTATTATTCGAGTCGAGGCGGCCCCTCCGCCGCTACAGCGGTCCACGGTGAAAACGCTCAAGATACATCCTTTTATGGCTGATACGACAAAGAAGAAAGATGGATTGAAATTCGGGTCCGATACTGCGGCAGCGAGAGATGCATTGGCAGAGCGTATCAAGATGATCTATGGGAGTACTGGATCGGACAAGGGGCTACTAGCAGGGCCCTTGACCGATGGGATGGTTTTGCCAAATACAGACTACCAGGCAACAGGACCCAGTTTCGACGGTGCTATTCTCCGATTTGACCCTCCGCTGAAGACTGGTTCCGAAACGGCAAAACCAGCAACAAACTGGCTCTTGGGATCAGATGCTAAGCTGTTGCTGGAAGTGCAGGCTGAGATCCCCCGTCCAGCGGAATCAAGCTCCTCCACCCATCCATCTGAGGACGCAATACCGCCTACTGTTCCTGAACTGGTCGGGATCGACCGTATTATCTCTCAGTCTATCGATAACCTGACCAAATCCTCCTCTATCTTGCTCACAGGCGGTCTGGGGTCTGGAAAGACAGCTTTGAGCCATCTACTAGCTCACCGTGTGCGGACGGACTATCTGTTCAACGTAAAATATTTTTCTTGTCGGAAACTGGTTACCGACGAGACCCGGATTTCAAACATCAAAGAAACGCTGAACCGCCTTTTCATGTCCGCTTCCTGGTGCGCACGTCTTGGCGGACAGTCGCTTGTGATTCTGGATGATCTTGACAAGCTGTGTCCTGTCGAGACAGAGCTTCAGGTTGGAGGGGACAATGGCCGCAGCCGCCAGAACAGTGAAGTTATCTGCTCGATGGTGCGCGAGTATTGCACCATGAACTCTTCGGTGGTTCTGCTGGCCACGGCACAGTCGAAAGAGTCCTTGAACAATGTCATTATTGGAGGTCACGTTGTCCGAGAGATCATCCACTTGAGGGCTCCGGACAAGGAAGGTCGCCGCAAGGTGCTGGAGCAACTTACCAGCCAGGACAGAGGTGTCCCACCTGCGTTGAACGGTCATGCACGGAACTCCAGTTCCTCTACGCAAGACTCCTGGCTGAACCCTTCCAATCCAGGAAGTCGTCCCAGCTCAGCAGGCGCAGACGGGTTCGTGCTTGGTAGGGATGTGGATTTCTTGGAACTTGCTGGCAAGACAGATGGGTACATGCCCGGTGATATGGTCCTTCTAGTCTCCCGCGCACGGAACGAGGCTCTTATTCGCTCTGTTCAGGATATTTCATCATCGTCGAGAGCCATCACGCTTGGGGCAGATGATTTTGAAAACGCTATCAAAGGCTTCACTCCCGCGTCTCTTCGAAACGTTACGCTCACCTCGTCTACTACGACCTTTGCAGGCATCGGTGGGTTGACTGAGACCCGTAAAATGCTTCTCGAGACGTTGCAGTATCCCACCAAGTACGCGCCTATCTTCGCACAATGTCCTTTGCGTCTGCGCTCAGGTCTGCTACTTTACGGATACCCTGGATGTGGAAAGACGTTGCTCGCCAGTGCGGTAGCCGGAGAGTGTGGCCTGAACTTCATCTCTGTCAAGGGTCCTGAAATCTTGAACAAGTATATCGGTGCGAGTGAGAAGAGTGTCCGAGATCTCTTCGAACGGGCACAGGCCGCTCGACCGTGTATCCTCTTCTTCGATGAATTCGACAGTATCGCACCTAAGCGTGGACACGACTCTACTGGTGTCACCGATCGCGTCGTCAACCAGCTTTTGACACAAATGGATGGTGCCGAAGGTCTCTCCGGAGTGTACGTCCTTGCAGCTACATCCCGACCTGACCTCATCGATCCCGCCCTGCTCCGACCAGGACGTCTCGACAAATCTTTGATTTGCGACATGCCCAACCACGCAGACCGACTCGACATAATCCGAGCAGTAAGCGAGAAGCTCGCAATGAACGAGGAAGTCGCTGCTCGTCTGGACGAAGTGGCCACCCGTACAGAGGGCTTCTCCGGAGCTGATCTACAGGCTGTTGTATACAACGCCCACCTTGAGGCAGTCCACGATGCCCTCGGCGACCACTCCGTGAACGACAAGTCCACGGCCAAGAATGGCACAAAGTCCTCGTCATCAACAGCCACCAGCACCAAGTCATTCATCCAGTTCCTCTACTCTGCCTCCGAACAGGAGGCCGGAAAGGTATCGATGCCTTCTCCAGCCGTTGTCGCGTCCAAGCTCGATGCAATTAAGAGCGCACGACGACGCCAGCGACAGTCGGAGCAAGGCACAGCGAACAACACTCAGACCGCAGCCCCCAACGGGACCGCGCACGAGGAACCCCGCGAGGAGATCATCGTGCGGTGGGAGCACATGGAACGTTCTTTGAACACAACGCGTAGCTCTCTCAGCCCAGCTGAAAGACGCCGCTTGGAGGGTATTTACCGGGAGTTCATCTTCGGACGGAACGGCGAGATGCCCAACGGCGAGGGCAGCCAAGAGATTGGAGGACGGACGAGCTTGATGTGATCCATGTATATTAATACCACATGCATATATTGTTCCATATTTCATTGCCATTTACGCTGCTTAGATCCTACAGGCTAGAGATCTAACCGTAGGTCTTGATCTATTATGGCTGGGAGACTTTCCCTGGCTAGCTTTTACCTTGCGTATGCTATCATCTCCATTCTTTGAGCGAAGGAAGAGACACCAATGAACTCCGTCTGCGAGGTCCCTTCGCCAAAACTTCCTCTAGGCTCTCCCTTTTGAGGCCCAGCAGTCCCTTCTCGCGCCGGGCCTCAACTTCCTGCCAGAACATAACAACTACTCGGCGAGCCCAATCAAGGTATTCCTGCGTCTTTTTTGATGCTGATGATGATGCCTCATCATCAGACAGAGCAACCTCTTGATCATTCCGCTCTATCTCGCACGACCAACAAAGACAGGCATCATACTCCCCTTTGAAGTGCTGCGAATAAGCCTTCTGACTAGCCTTAAACGAACCACATAGGTTTTCAAGAATCACTTTATCGCTATAGTCCATAGACTTCCTTACATGTCGAATACAGAACCGGCGATAAGGTTCCGGAGACAGCTGGTGCGTGTGCCAAAATAAATCCACGTCTGATGTTGGAGTAATAAATAGATTGTTTGACGGACGAGCTGATTTTAGAAAGTTTTGATATTTCTGCTGTGCTCGTGGCAGGGTACCAATTAGTTTTGATGGAGTGTTTGTAGACTGACAGCAGAGGGCTGGTGAACGCAGCCAGCATTTCTTGTGCATCTCGTCCATGAAGCATGTTGCGCGCAGTACTGAGGAGTAATGAGCTGATGATGCTTGCGTCACTGGGGAGGTTGGTGTGTAGAGTGATAGCAAGGTTTCTACAGCCCATTTCGGTGTGTTGCTTTCGTAGCTTGCAGTGTAAATAGCCTGGAGGAAGCGTTCGCGCTTGGTGCAGGACTCTAGGATAGGCAGTGGTAGTGCTCTTGATAGGGGATATAATGCTTGAGCGAGAGCAGGGTTCGAATATGTTCCTCTTAGTCGCGACTCTCTGGTTTGGCGGAGGTGAAGAAGATCGCTGCGGAGTGCGTCCACGGACGGTGCGTAGCCGCAGTCGCATCCTAGCTCGAAGCCTTGCTTTATGTCTTCGGTTTGAGCGGTGGGTATGATTGGTAAATTTCTGGTGGTGTGGCAGTATGGACAGTTCATATCGTACACTAGCGGATGCGCTTTGTTACAGACCTCTTCAAGAAGATCGGCTGATTGTCCGGAAGTTTTTTCAAAGAAGTCCCTGGCAGCAGAAGGGATGCAGTATTCGGTCGTCCTGATGTCGATTGCATTAACCTAGTATATTCAGTCAACAGTGGTATTTTGAGGGCAATTGTTTATTATCCTCTTACCACTTCCTTCCAGGGGAACAGAACCCGGCGCATGTGAGGTACGTCCAGCCGAGAACAGTCATCCTCGTAGATAAAAGGCTGTAGCATATATGTATGCCAGATCAGCATAACATCTAGAGCAAGTATCAGTCAGACCTGTGCAGAGTCTATCTTCTTAGAGGGGAAGAGCTACCCATAGGAGGCAATAGATCGGCTGGTAGCTCCAAGTAATCTTCCTCAGGCATTGTCCTTGATAATTTCTTGTTTACTGCGTGCCACCACGAGTAGAATCGAGGAGCAGCAACCTCCATAAGCCCAGCCAGTAACTGACTGTGAATTTTCTCATTGTCTGGCTGCAGGTCCACACTGTTCGCCGAGAGCAAGGAGAGCAGTTTCATGGCAGTCTCTCCACTAGTTGCCTTATGCTTCCATACCCACATAGCTTCCATTAACAGTAGATGAGCAGCTGCTTGAGCCACAGACGGTACAGAGTCTTCCGCTAGATGGGATAATCCGAACGGGCTCATGATGGACATATCGGGAGCAGAAGCCTCTATATCGTACGTATCCGCTTCCGCAAAGACTGGACGCTGTGTGGTTGCCAATGGTACATCTGGAATGATTTTAATGGAAGGCGGGACTCCTGACAGAAGTGTCGATACAATGGAGGGAGCTCTCATTATGGGTTGCTTTCAGATGCAGCAGTAATGGGGTTTCCAGAATCAGATGCAAATTCTTGAAAACGAAGTGATGCGAGCAGGATCTATGGGATTAGTACCCTATTTCTACTGAAGAGACGGATGTAGTACATCATCAGTGTAGACCCTCCGTGGGCACTGAATGTGCATCTTGGCAGATCAATCATCCATCGATGATATCCACGGTACTGGAACAGACGACCAAGTAGTTAAAGGAGAAACAGCGATGTGGGTAACACTTGCACCCACTCATATTGATGCAGATCTGTGAGATGTTTAGGTGGCTCTTTCGATCGATGTAACATCCCTTATTCATGCTCAAAGCAACGTGCTGGTCTAGGGTTGCATCCGTGGGGAATACTAGGATCTGCACCAGATCTCCAGGCCGAGTAAATCACTTACCAGGTACATTCAGGACTTAATCGTAGTAGTTATTATCTATGCATATGTACCAGCCATACTCGCATATCTCTGGTATTGAAAACGAGAATACTTTTCGGATGCTGTTGGAGATGGCGTTATAGCACATGCAATTTCAGTAGTCTTGGTGACCATTGGTCGGTGCATATGAGTATAGAATACTGGGATCCGCGGACTTGAAATGTATCCACAAGATGTTGCAGCATAAAACGATATTTCCACGATCCAAGCATACCGAAGCGGAAACTCAGCGCGGCTCCGCGGAGGCTGTGACATTATTCCACACTTTCGGCTTTCCCCGAAATTATGGCGATCATGCAAAGTATCGTAGGATTATTGGTGTTTCATGTGGTTTTATCCCTACTCTTCTTCTTTCCCTCTTGCAAGTGGCGTGGCGTTTAGTCTACGATCATATCAAGTACTACGCATTTATGCCGATAGGCCTCGTACGAGTATGGTTGTTCTGTCCCTAGCATTGTAACCCAAAAAAGAAAGATAGTGAAAAGGGGAAAAAAGAAAAGGATATACATATCGCAGCCTCTGTCTGCTATGACTTCCCCATCAAATAAGCTCATAAACGTTACACATAAAGTTCATATGCAGAAATCCCGAACAATGCAATGCATATGCGACAGGGGCTCCATGAATCAACTAGCCAGTTATGTTATTTCCAACCCCATACAACTCTCAACGAAGTATATCCACATGCCGTAACCTTCTATAAATGTAAATGTCCGTCATGTAAGTAATAATGTTCAATTCCTACCGAGGTGGTCGAAATGCAGCTGAGTGGCACAGTACCGAGTCTCATACTAGATATTTTCGAGGTTACGACTCATTCCTTTTCTACATCATGTGAAGTACTCGATGAAATGCCCGGATTCTCATGCCAGTTATCCCAGCAGCATGGACATCACTGCATCTCTCGTGCATGCCCTAGGGAAGGAGAAGTAGTATATAAGTAATCATGAAACTCCCCGACCTAAGGTAGTCATTCTGAAGGAAACTATAGAAAGGAAATCTACGTTCTCCCTTTGTTCCTTTTCCTCGCACAGGTCGTTCTTTTCTCAAACTAAAGCTAGACTATCGGAGAGTACAATGTACTATCTCAAATCTCTCTAGTTAGCTGCACTTGCTACTAGTCTGTGGCTGACATTCGATGGCTTACAGCTGGATTAGACGCTGCTGACGGGCACGAATTGCCCGATATGTGCCTAAGGGGGTCTTAATTTCAAGTAAGTGCCTGACTACAGAGACTACTGTTATCTAGTACACGACTCATGATACTGTTCTGATCCTAATCTAGTGCCGGAAAAGGTACTACTACTAATGGCGCCATGTTCCGTCGGCCTATAGCAAGTGCCAGATAAGGCATACTACCCCTGCATCCTCGCTGGACAAAATGGCGTGTGCGCTAGCGACTGCACTTATAACGCAGCTTCACCGTCAGCTCTTGAACCTCTTCCTTCCCCTTCTCTTTTCCCCCAGGGAGTAGAGACCCGGAGGAGCGGGATCCGACGTTCTCAAAATGCCCTTCACTAATGGGGAGGGCAATATGCTCCACTTCGACCAAAAGCAATTTGACTTCAACCTTCAATTCGAGACTCTCTTTTTCTCGATTATTCCTTCCATCCTGTTTATTCCATCGTCGCTATGGCGAACTCTAGCAGGGATACGCAGGCCCGTCGTGGTGAATGCACCCGTCTTGCAGTTCATCAAGATAGTACGTCCTCTATTACTGGGTAAACGGTTTCTGCCTACTGACTGCTTAGGGGGCCATCGTAATCTACGCTGCCGTAGAACTTGCTCTCCTCATACTCGCCGCGGTCGGCTTCTTTCACATTAGCCGCATGTTTATCGCTTCTTCCGTTCTCCAGCTGCTATCAGCCCTGTTCATGCTGACAGTGAGTATGGTGGACCACAGCCGCAGCCCTAGACCCTCCATGCTGCTGAACAGCTACTTGTTTCTTACTCTACTCCTGGACATTGCCCGAGCCAGGACTCTATTCCTGTCGTCAGACTACATTTCCGAGGTCGTATATAGCAATTTATTCTGTGCATCGGTCGGGCTGAAGACCGCCATCTTGGTGCTAGAGGCCTGCCAGAAGGCGAAATGGGTAGTCTGGGATGCAACGAAACACAGCCCCGAGGAGACGAGTGGGATATTCTCCCTAGGTGTTTTCTTCTGGCTGAACAAGCTCTTCTTGGCTGGGTATAGACATACCTTCACCATCGAAAGCCTCTACCCCCTTGACAGTACCTTCGACGCACATGCCCTGCATGAGGAATTCGCGAGAAAAATGGACTATACCAAGTTAAAGGGGGATAAATTCGGCCTTCTGAAGGTGCTAGTACGTACATTTTGGGTGCAACTACTCCTTCCTATTCCTCCGAGGGCGGCTTTGATTGCGTTCTACATCTGCCAACCTCTATTCATCGAAAGCCTCGTCACGATTTGTCTCAATCGGAGCCCGGTCCAGATGTGGGATATGGGCTTATCGGCGCTGCCATACTCATCTATTCCGGGATTGCAATCTCGTACGGCTTGTACTGGTACTGCCACCATCGACTGCGGACAATGGCCCGCTCCATCCTAGTCACTGAGACGTTTAAAGCCGCCACCAGAGCTCGGATGGGATCAGGTGATGATAACGCTGCGCTGACACTTATGAGCACCGATATGGAACGCATCCGAATGGGGCTTCGCTTCGTGCACGAGACATGGGCAAGCTTGATTCAGGCTGGTCTCGCCGCCTGGCTGCTCTATCGGAAACTTGGGGTCGTGTTCGTTGCTCCTGTAGGCGTGGTGGTAGTCTGCTTCGTTGGATTAGGAATTCTAATCAACTACACTGGGGACTCACAGCGGTCTTGGATGTCTGGGGTCCAGAAGCGAGTCGGGCTTACAGCCACCGTCATTGCCAGCATGAAATCACTCAAGGTATCCGGTCTTGCTGGTCCCGTGACGGAGTATGTGCAGCAGCTGCGTGTCGATGAACTCGCCGCTGGTGTCCGATACCGCAGGATCATGATCATCGCCGCTGTCTTCGCATTTATACCGCAGTTGATCAGCCCTCCGTTAACCTTCGCGTTTGCCCAAAAGACGCTGAATGCCTCGACCATGTTCACCGGTCTTTCATTCCTGACTTTGTTGACTCAGCCGCTGGCGCAGCTCTTCCAGTCCGTCCCAGAGCTGGTTTCAGGCTTGGCCTGCCTGGGTCGGATTCAGGCATTTTTGGAATTGGAGCCTCGTCGGGACTATCGGCAACCCCTTATAGAAGCCCAGAGTGGCGGCTTGGAGAATAACTCCAATTATATCGTCATCCGAGCCGCGAGTTTTGGATGGAAACCAGACAAGTTTGTCCTGAATAATATCCATACTCAAATTCCCACATCGTCCCTCACGATGGTCGTCGGTCCAGTTGGCTCAGGAAAATCCACATTCTGCAAGGCCCTTCTAGGTGAGATGCCCTTCAGCCAAGGTAGCATCGCTATGCAAACTTCCCCACGCCACGTCGGCTTCTGTGAACAAACTGCTTTTCTGTGGAACGGTACAATCCGAGAGAACATCGTCGGATTTGCCCCTTTTGACCGCGAGCGGTATGACCAAGTCATTGAAGCCACTTCCCTGCGCTTCGACCTCGCTACCCTGTCCCAGGGGGACCAGACGAACATCGGGTCGGATGGTGTAGCATTATCGGGCGGGCAGAAACAGCGTCTGTCTCTTGCGCGAGCACTATACCTACCATCCAACCTTTTGGTCTTGGATGATGTGTTTAGTGGCCTGGACGCTGATACTGAGGAAAAAGTCTTTCGACAGGTCTTTGGATCAGATGGTCTCCTGCGACAACGGGGATCAACGGTGGTTCTGTGCACCCATAGTGTTCGGCATCTCCCAAGCGCGGACTACATCATCGTCCTCGGAAACGGCACCGTTGAAGAGCAAGGCACCTTCATTGATTTGTCCACCCGTCCGGGTTATGTTCGGCGGTTGAAGGTGGGACTGAAGCAGGAGGGCGAGGATAATAATATCGCTGACGATGAGCCTGGTCCTGGTCCGTATCAGGAACATAAAGACCAGGCGGAGGCTGACAAGAAACTCCAACATGAGATCACTGTCAACAGCACGCAATCATCCACCCCAATTACCCCAGTTGTGGCCACCGCGCGGCAGGTAGGTGACGCCACCGTCTATAAGCTATATCTCAAAAGCATGGGATGGTTTGTGGCGGCTTGTAGTCTTTTCTTTGCGGCCCTGTGGGGTCTGTTCACCAATTATCCAACGATCTGTGCGTCTCTGCTGCTCCCCTCCATCTCCAATGTCCTTAATAACTCATTGTATCAATGCAGGGCTCACATACTGGAGTGACGCGACCGACTCCGTCCATCCTGCGCACTCCCACTCCTACTATGCGGGCATCTATGCCCTCCTGCAGGTCTGCGCCATCCTCGCCCTCCTCCTCCTAGGGGTAACGCTCTTCATTATCTCGGTAAAGAAAGCCGGCGCCAATCTCCATCAGCAAGCCTTGCGTACCCTGATTCGTGCCCCGCTCGCCTTCTTCACT